CTACAAAAGATTTTCTGCCACCTAAACTTTTCTATATAACATCTAACCTCTAACCTCCCTCCCTCCCTTCAACCAATTTTCCCTTTTTAAAACCTTCTTTCCCTTTACTCTTCTTTATTTTAAGTAATTGCTTCCATTTCTCACTACACTTTTCAGATATAAACCTGCAAAAACTGACAGTGGCAGTTAGTATAAAACTTTTTAAGGTAGTTAAACTTTTGTGTGAATGAAGCTAAGAAAAAAAGTACTCAATTATATATAAGTAGTCAAATATCTGAAGTAATTTGAGTAAAGTTAAAGAGTTTTGGAAAATGAAGGAGAGTGGTAGAAAACAAAGTGCAGCTTCTCCTTGTGCAGCTTGTAAATTGCTAAGGAGAAGATGTGCACAAGATTGTGTATTTTCTCCTTATTTTCCAGCTGATGAGCCACAGAAATTTGCTAGTGTGCATAAAGTCTTTGGTGCTAGCAATGTTAACAAGATGCTTCAGGTAAGAGACCTAAGTCTAATAATTTTAATTTCCTTCTTGCATTATGTCTAATTAAGTGGAGGAGAGTCTTGGAACAACGATAAAGACGTTGTTTCGTTTGACCTATATATAGGTTATGTATGGGTTCGTACCATGAAACTAGCTACTGATGCTTGCATCAGAATAGACTGCCTACATTGCTCCCCTTGGAATGCGACCCTTCCCAACCCTACGTGAACAATTTTAATTTAATTTCGTTCCTGCATCATGTCTAATTAAACAGGGGAACCTTGGAACAACGATAAAATTGTTTACGTTTGACATTATGGATTCATGTCGTAAAATTAACTACTGTATTAGGGTATGCTGCATACATTACACCCTCTGATTGAATGTGACTCTTCCTCGAAAACTTGCGTGAACGGGAATGCTCTCTTTTTTAATAATGTCTAGTTAAGCCTCATTCATGCATTTTACCTTGCTTATTAAAGAATGTTGTTGTTGGAACTGAGATATAGTTATTGTTAGTGTTGTATGAAAAAATGTTTTTATCAAAAATCTAAGTAGGAAATATAGCTTAGATTTTAGGACAAAGTGACAACTGCTAAAAGAAGGCCAATTTTTAAAGATTTGTATTTATAGGCACCCGTATAAAAATATGTTTAAAATATTTATGATTTTTTTTAAAGTTTACTAGTAATAGAGACTCACCTAAAGTTTAAACTTATGATTATATGAATTGGCTAGTCTAATTTTACACAGCAATTTAATTGCATAACTTTCGGCATTTTATTATAGAACACTATTTCAGATGCTAACTCTCGTCATTTCACTTTTAATATCATGATTTTTGGCATGATTTGCCTCTAATTTTGTATCTTCCTTACTTTAAGTGGGCCATTCTTTACTTGCACGTTGAGTATGCCCTTTATATTTATAAAAAATGGATTTCTGACCCACAAAGATTTGTTTGTTTTGCATTTGAGAACCCAATTTAACGTTATATCACACCCCAAGAATACTAAACAGTTTTGTTTTTTTGGATTAGAGTCAAAGTTAGAGATGACTATCAGTATGAAAATTTTGACCCAAAAAACTTTTAACGTGATAAAAGTAAAATACACCGATAAGATTTCTGTAAATATTTTTTTTCTATTATTTGTGGGAAGTGGGAACAGTAAATTCTTTTTTAATATTCTCCATTATTAGCTCTATGACGGCTGAAAACGGTTACTTTAGGTAACATCATACCTTTGATTTTATTTATTATTTATTAAATTTTAAAATAATTTACTGAATTTTTTTATGTCGTCTCTGTCTTGACCCATCTTGAGTCTAATACATTATATTATTTTAACTTAATTTGTTTAAATAATTCAAGAACGTTTTCCAAATAATTAATTAGGAGCAGAAGAGATAAATATTGGAAAAAGAATAAAGAAAAGTGAGTCTTTGTAAACAAAGTCTTTTAACATTTGTCTTATTTTTCTCTTGTGGTACATAAGCATAAGAATATAGTCAAAGATTTGTTATCCCAAAGTAATTTTAGAAAAGTGCATCATTAGCAATTTTTTCCTTGTTTTAATAGGGTGAGTTCCCACTTAAAAGACAGAAATTCTATGTTAAAAGTTCAGGTTTTTACTTTACTCTTTTCTTTGAGGGCTTAAACAAGATTTCTTTTGGTGTAATCATGACATCACTATTGCATTTCATTTTGTCAAATTTTAGGGCTAGAAATTAAATTTATGCCACTTCCATCGAAAAAATTTCAGACTAAAATACCTTATTCACCCCCTCTTTTGGTTTGGGGGGGGGGGGGGGGGGGCAAATTAATAGAAAATAGAAAATAAAATAATTAAGTTTCTATTATGGATGGTGATTGTACAATCTTATATGGACAAAATATGGTATATTGCCCAAAAAAAAACTTACCCGCATTCCATCTTTACATTAAAAAGATGGTTAAGTAACATATCATCACTTTGATTTGTATGTAATACAAACAGTTGTAGAGCTATAATTTTCATCAAGGGATTATAAAAAGTTTAAACAAGCGGAGAAGCCGAGGGATGCAATATCTTTATGTATATATATATACACACACATTTTATATAGTATAATTCCCTGCAAAGGGGTCCATCTGTTCGGATGAACCCTTACGTCCCTAGCTCCGCCATTGAATACTGAGTTAATTGCATGAATTGATATAAATATCAGGTACAAATAATTATTTTTAATATTTTTGTAGGAGTTACCGGAGCATCAACGGGGCGATGCCGTGAGTTCAATGGTGTATGAGGCAAATGCTAGAGTTAGAGATCCAGTTTATGGTTGTGTTGGAGCTATATCATCTTTGCAACAACAAATTGACCATCTCCAAACACAATTGGCAATTGCACAAGCTGAGGTTGTACACATGAGGATGCGACAATTTTCGTCCATGTCTAGCGGCGGCGGCACGGCCGAAAACTCGCCGGAAAACGTGTCGCCATCGTCCCGACACACTCAAACTCAACCAACCATGTCCCTTTTTACCATGGACATGGTGGTTGATCACGCTAATATGGGGGAGTCCTTATGGTCATGCTAGCTAGTAATTTATGTAGTTCAGACTCTTCAAAAATATCGTTGGATGCGAGTCGAATCCTCTAAAAGTAGTATATATTTTTGGAGAATCCGACATAAATACGACAATATTTTTGAAGAGTTCGTGCAACGTAGTTAGTAATTATTTAGCTAGCTAGTTGCTTGACTAGCATGCTTTGCCTAGTCTTTTCTAATATTTGCAATCAAGATCTTACTTTATTGTCTGCTTTTTTTTTTCCCCTCTTTTTTTTTTTTTTTACTATACATCTTTATATAGCACATCTCTAGCTGACCCCTCGAGAGATGATGATGACCATTATTAACCATATTGTAAATGTCTAAACATATAATTATGAGATATAATTATGATATGTAGTTATGTATGCTGAGTTGACTACTTTATAATTAGTTTTCTCTTTTGCCTTTTGTTGTGGGGTAGACAATTGGTTCAAGATTTTGTATCTAATGCTTTTGATGTTTGTACCTTACTTTTGAGGAAACTCTTAGACCATTTTTAACATAATGTTTGTCTTTTTTTCTTTTTTTTAATTTCTATTTTTTTTTCATTTTCCTTGTTTCCTTTTGGCCCCCATGTTGGAATATGGTGTTATCATTAAGGCAAAGTATCAAATATGAAGTGACTATAATTATAGGCCATGGCTTTTCAAAATATCAAGTTCCTGCTTCTTTTATGGTTTCTTCGCTATTATATATTCTTTTTATTACTGTTGTGATTATGTTTGTCTTGAGCCGAGAGTCGGAAATGACTTCTCTATCTTTACAAGGTCAGAGTAAATTCTGCGTTCGCACTACCTTTCCGGAACCATACTTAGTAGATTACATTAAGTATGTTGTTATTGTTGTTGTATAATTATAGGCTATAACACTTTAAATGACATTCTCAATGTCCTCTACATCATGAAAAGATGTCATGTCTCTGAAGCTATTTTATTTCCATCAACCCTAATGGTATCCTTAGAGACTAAAGCTAGAGAAACAGATCTAATTATAGGGGGTGGCAAACTTTGATTTTTTCAAGATTATTTCATTCCACTCTTTCAAGAACAATGTGATTTGAAATTGCAAATTTAATACCTTTTGGAATTATGCCCAAGTTGTAAGGTAGTTGAGACTTGCTTTTCATATAGCATCTTTCATGTAACAAATCTTTGGCTTCTCCTTAATTTTCTGCAAATCTCCATAGGCAGATTATAGCCAGATGCTAATCTACTTGTGTTTGTCCTATAAAGACCTTACATCTTTATTGGTATACCCGATAATTGGTAGAAGCATACAATGAAACATTGTGAGCTATTAGATGGTTAGAACCGCATAAAAGCCATTAAGCTCATTTCAATCAAACATTATAAAGAATAATTGATCTAATACTAAAAGTTCTCTGTATTTGCTGATAACATATAAATCTCTAGCAAGCTAATTTTTTCTTAACAAACATTAGACCTTAATAAAAGGTACTAANTATTTTTTTTTCCAATTTTTTATTTTTAAAAATGTGTTTGTGCATGAAATTTTGCAAGTTTTTGAAAAAATTCGAAAATGAGTTTTTCCAAAACCACTTTTTCAAAATTTTCAAAATTATTTTTCCCCAATCACAAAACTGTAATATTTTTTCAAGTGAAATGCATGTCCAAATACAATTTCAAATTTCAAATAATTTTTCAACTTAACTCCAAATACTATTTCTTTTAAAAAAAAATCATAATTTTTATGTTCAAACGCCTGCTAAGAGATTGTAAATCTTTCAGTATACAAATAAAAAAAAATTAATGATAGATAATATAGTAATAGATAAAATATATTTCAGCGTATTCAAATTTGGAGCCAATAATAATAAAGAAATTCAATTTATACTCTTTTTTTTGTTTTTGTTTTTTGTCCTTTCTTTTGCGGGAAAAGAATCAGTCAAAAGCATGAATATTCTCTTCTCCTTCCTTACACCTTCCTCCTCAGTCCTCACAACTGCTCCATCTTCTACTCCGTACTCCATCTTCCACATTTTCCCACAAGTGTGATCATCAATTTGATTTTGAATTTCATGTCCATTGCAGAAGCAAAATTAAAGCTCAATTAAATACTTGGGCTACAGTGAAAATGGCAGGTGGAAATGAAGCATTCAGAATATGTGGTAGTGTATCCGAAGCATTGAGTTACATGCCATGTCCCCTGCAATACACTGAGCCTAACACTAAGAATGATCTATGGGTATTCTGGAGCCAACAACAGTAAGTGCTTTTTCCCCTTTATGTCTATGGTCCATGGATTGGTATTTACCCAATATAACATCCAGATTATATGATGCTAGGGGTGGCAAACGGTCGGGTCGGATATGGGCCGGTCGAAAACGGATAATGCAAAAAACTTATAAATTATCCGATCCAACCCATATTTAATACGGATAGAAAATAGGTTAGCTTAATATGATCACTTTTGGGGAGAATTTCTAGTCTCCCAAGCTTCAGAAACCCCCAATTTTTGTCATTGCAAATGTAAAAATTAAACTCATTAGTTATCTATTGGTTATCCATTTTGTAAATGGATAATATGGTTCTTATCCATATTTGACCCATTTTTAAAAAATTCATTATCCAACCCATTTTTTAGCCGTTAATATGGATGGATAACTGTTTTTTTTTATCCATTTTGCCACCACTATACTCAACTCACTTATTTGGAGATGATGCCTATGGCCTATGGGTTCTCTCTTTGTCCATTCTTTTAGTTTTACCCCTGGCTAGACTTTTGTGTTTGGTTAATGCATAGGAGTAGTGACACTCATTGTGTTTATTGGGTGCTTATTTTGCTTCAATTTGACATATTTTGATACTAAATTGGACTATATTAATTTATTTTGGACTAAAATTTGTAAATTATGTTATGATATGGAACTTAAGCCTAATTCAATATCAAAAACTAGGTCATAAGGTAACGATTGTGCAAGACCATATAAAGAGACCAACTCGTCCCCCATCCACTACCAATTTGGGAATCTATCAGGTGAAGTACCATACGTATATGTACCCAACAATGTGGCCTAGTAGTCAATAAAGTGGGTGAAAATTAATTTCAAGGTTCAAATCCTAGCAGTGACAAAATATGTGCTAGGTGATTTCTTCCTATTTGTCTAAGCTTTGGTTGGGTCTGGGAGATAGCAAGTAGCGGGTGGAACAGTCGGGATGTACGCAAGCTGATCCGAACACCAACGTCATAAAAGAAGTTCCATGAAGACAAATTTCTTCATATCAGATGGCAAAACGTTGAATTTTCTGTCTTACTCAATGTTCACTTTGTTGAATTAGAGGAGCAGAAAAGTGACAAACCTTTTGCCCCACAGGTAGTACTACTCTCTAAAATCTTAATAATGGTGGACTTCAATCTTATCAAAGTAAGTGATTAAAGTAATAGTCAATCATTGCTCTAGCTTAGAGATTATTTTCTGATACTTCTCTTGATATGACTTGTGGAACTTTAAGTGGTGCCTAGGAGTTGATATACTCCAACTATCCTAATACTTCAAAAGAGTCAGTTTGCTCAACTTATGAAGATTGGTTCATGTCGTTGTTAGATTTTATTCAAGTTTTAGCGATATGAAAATTAGAGCAGTTAAAGTAAAAATTCAGGCTTGTATGTTTAGAACACTAAATAATAGTTTCGAATCATGGTGCAAAAGTTCTCTGAATCAGAGGAAGGAAAATACCAGAGCAAAGTGAAGCCAGTAAAGCAAACAAGGGGAGGTAGTAACTAACTTGCAACTCTCATTCATGTTACTCTGCGGAGCACTGCAAAACAGAGGAGGACCTACACTATAGGTTGAGGGGTCATCGGTAACCGGAAACTTGGGAAAAAACTCCATATATACTTGCAAATCTCTTCAAAAAATAATCAGATATTAGCACAGGCCCTATACCAATCTATATGAGCAGTAATAAATTTATATTGAATGCCATAGTGCCCCAGCGACCACCGAATCCTGGCTCCCCCTATGCTGCATAAGTATTCTTAAGTGTAAACTTGAGCTTGTTTAACACTCCTATAACTTATGCAATCATGTTGAATTTCTAATCTTGTTCTTTTTAGGAGTGCACCATTGGCGGTGCTGCTTATTTGTTTCATCTGTTATCTGTTAATGCAAATTCCCAAGGATTTGATAATGATAACTTTTGTTACTCGATAAGATGAGCGACTTTTAAATGAGTCGGGTTTAGATTGGGGAATATGAAGTCTTTGAGCTTATGGATCAAGTCTTGAATATTGAGGAGTTTGAATTGAATATTTAACCAGTTTTTCACTCGGGATCTGGACCAAGTGAGGTGCATAAAAGATGATGACGGCAAAGTTTTGATGTGAGATGACCAGATTAAGTGGAGGTGGCAGACCTACTTTCATAAACTTCTAAGTGAAGAAGGGGATCAGGATATTATACTTGGGGAATCGAGGAATGCCGACAGTCACCATGAATTAAGTAATTGTAGGGACATTGAGATCGATGAAGTCATGGAGGCAATGCGTAAGATGAGAAGGGGCAGAGCTACCGGGCCAGACGAAATTCCGGTTGAACTGTGGAGGTGTGTGGGTAGAGCAGGCTTGGAATGGCTTACTGCATTGTTTAGTGTTATATTCAAGACTAATAGGATGCCTGAAGAGTGGAGGTGGAGTACAATGGTCCCGTTGTATAAGAACAAAGGTGATGTCCAGAGCTGTAACAACTATAGGGGCATCAAATTACTAAGTCATACCATGAAAGTTTGGGAGAGAGTGGTAGAAATGAGAGTGCGAAGGACGGTGTCTATTTCAGACAACCAGTTCGGGTTCATGCCGGGGCGATCTACCACAGAAGCTATCCACCTTATTAGGAGGATGGTGGAACAGTACAGGGATAGGAAGAAGGATCTCCACATGGTGTTTATTGATCTGGAGAAAGCGTACGATAGGGTTCCTAGGGAGGTCTTATGGAGCTGCTTAGAGGATAAAGGGGTCCCGGTTGACTATATTAGGGTGATTAAAGACATGTATGCTGGAGCTAAGACTCGGGTTAGGACAGTAGGAGGCGACTCTGAACACTTTCCAGTTATTACGGGGTTGCACCAAGGGTCTGCGCTCAGCCCATTCCTATTTGCCCTGGTGATGGATGCACTGACTCATCATATTCAAGGGGAAGTGTCATGGTGCATGCTATTTGCTGATGACATTATTCTAATATACGAGACACGAGGCGGCGTCAACGAGAGGCTAGAGATTTGGAGACATGCTCTTGAGTCTAAAGGTTTCAAGTTGAGCAGGACGAAGACGGAATACCTCGAGTGCAAATTTGGAGTTGAGCCGACGGAAGCGGGAGTTGAAGTGAGGCTTGACTCTCAAGTCATTCCCAAGAGGGGTAGTTTCAAGTACCTTGAATCGGTTATTCAGGGGATCGGGGAGATTGATGAGGATGTCACACACCATATAGGGGTGGGGTGGATGAAGTGGAGGTTAGCGTCGGGAGTCTGGTGTGACAAGAAAGTGCCACCGTTACTAAAAGATAAGTTTTATAGAGCAGTGGTTAGGCCTGCCATGTTATATGGAACTGAATGTTGGCCGGTAAAGAACTCACACATCCAGAAGATGAAAGTAGCAGAGATGAGGATGTTGAGGTGGATGTGCGGGCATACAAGGATGGATAAAATTAGGAATGAAGATATTCGAGAGAAGGTGGGTGTGGCCCCCATGGAGGACAAGATGCGGGAAGTAAGACTCAGATGGTTCGGGCACATTCAGAGGAGGAGCACTGATGCACCGGTGAGGAGGTGTGAGCGACTGGCTGTAGTGGGCACGCGGAGAGGTAGAGAGCGACCTAAGAAGTATTGGGGAGAGGTGATCAGACAGGATATGACACGACTTAGAATTACTGAGGACATGACCCTTGACAGGGAATTATGGAGGTCGAGTATTAAGGTTGTAGGTTAGGGGAAAATTGTGAATATTTCTACAGCACAATAGAGTGAGACTAGCCAGTTAGGAGTTAGACTAAGAATGTCATTGCTCGTCTATTGATGCAGGGCTTTACTTGCTAGTTTTTACTATACCAACTATCTATTTCGTATTTCGCATTCTGTATTTTATATCTCCTATATTGCTGTTATTTTATTATGCATTTTTATAGTACTAATATATCGTCTCCTGTTGCTTTTTTGAGCCGAGGGTCTCCTAGAAACAGCCTCTCTACCCTTCGAGGTAGGGGTAAGGTTTGCGTACATATTACCCTTCCCAGACCCCACTTATGGGATTATACTGGGTTGTTGTTGTTGTTGTTGTTTTTCAGTATGATTGCTACGTATCCATCTTTCTGAATGAGTAAAGTGATTAATATCATAAACAACCTTTTTACAGCTGCTTACACTATTATCTATCATGATACCATCAAGGAGAAAATCACATCCGCTCTCAAGAATGCCTACATTTCTGACAACTTCGGATGCTGGTTGGTTCAATTTTGGGCGCCTATAACCACTAACAATCAGATTTTTCTAACAACTTGTGACCTACCTTTTGGTCTTACGAAACTCCATGGACTTTGTTTTTATAGGTCAGAGTGTCTGAAATTTAGAATTCCTATTGTAACTGATTGTTCTGACAATGAGTATCACTTGGCCCTATTGGACGCGTGTTCAAACATGGTTTGCCTGAAATGAGTCCAGATGTTTCTCGTTATTCTGCCAATGATTATCCTCAGCATGGCTTGGCTTCAGCTGCTGGTTTTGGGAACTATTTGGCTGTACCGGTTTTTGAGCCTCTTAATAATCAGTGCATTGGAGTACTTGAGATCATAGGAGATAAGGGAAGCTTCTCTCAAGACCTTGTTCAAATGGTCTATGAGATGCTCAATGTATGGCTTTCCTCCCTACTTTTCTTGCCATTTCTCTTTCTCTCTTCTAGTTTGTTTGAGTTAGTTTTACTGTAGAGAAAGGAAAGGTTGTTCGAAACTTTGCTTGATTTTAGTGTGGTAGCTAAAGTATAAAAAAGTGAATTTAGTGAAGAGTTTGGTCATTTTTAAATGTCACAGTTACCACTTCAATTTTCTAGAGATAGATTAAAAGACGTTTTCTCTTCATAGGAGCTATGCCTAGTGGCCTACTAGTTTCTCATAACCTCTATATATTTCTCTGAGCACGGTATCTTGTTCTTAACAGAAGGTGGACTTGAGATCATCAAACATGTATGGCCACCCCGACGAGAAGGTATGTTCACGAAGATGCTATATACCTGAATCCCCAAAGCCAGGAAAAGAATATCTTAGACTAAAGTGTACCTCTTTAAATGAAATAAACTAAAGTACCTTTATCAACTATCTATTTTTAGCAGGATTTTAAAGGCCTAGCACGTGCCCCGAAAGAAATTGAGGAGCAGTTAAGTTTTATATGCAGAACACATCAATTACCTCTAGCTCAGACATGGCTACCTATCCTTGACGGAAGCAGCATAAAAAGATTCATGACTACAAAGGAGCAGTTCTGCATATGCACATCAGCAGGCTACGAGTTCAGAGCTGCTTGTGATATGTTTCACTTAGGGAAGAGTCAGGGTGTTGTTAGTAAGGCCTTTTTAACCCGTAGTTCATGCTTCTGCAGTGACATCACACAGTTAAGCATGACTGAGTACCCCTTGGCACATGTGGCACACAGAGTTGGATTACATAGCTCGTTTGCTATATGTTTGCAGAGTTCCTACACAGGGGACTATGTATACCTATTGTAGTTCTTTTTACCCCAAGATAACAAGTCAGATTGCAGGAGTCCACAAACCATATTGAATATGCTATTGGCCTCAGTGAAGCGACAATTTCGAAGTTTCAAGCTTGCTTCTGGACAAAAACTGGGAGAGAAATTATCTGTTGAAATTATACCTGTTCCTTCAGATGATGGGCTCAACTCTTTTGAGATATGCCATGGTGTGAAACCTTTATCTGATATTGAAGCAGTAGCACGTCCGGGAAAAATAGAGTGGTTTGACCCATTAAACAGATTACTGAAAAGTGGAAATACAGTACAAATTTGTCCTGAAAATATTGATCTAACAACATCATCAAGAACTGCTAACCCTACAACAAAACTAACAAATGTGAGGGTGCTAACTAATAGAGTTGTTTCCAATAGCTCTGAGGAAGAAAGCATGATGAAGATATCCGAAGGACACCACAGAATTAACAGAGTAGTGCTTCAGCAATCAGTTGGTGCAAAAGTCAATGGCACTGAAACCACTCTTGGTAATAAAACTAAATTCTTTTAACAGATCTATTGCATCTGTGATTGTATGTTGATGTTATTCTAAGTAAATTCTTAGTACATTTGCAGCCAGCCAATCTGCTCCAAATAGTCTTGGCACAAAGCATCTTGAAATTAACGACATGAATTGCTCCAGTGATCAGCTTCAATCTGCCAAGGTTGCTGATAGACATTGTGAAGAATTCAGTGGAGGTGACCAGTCATGTCATGACACCACAACTTCCTTGACTCATGCTGCAAAGCCTGCCACACAAGCTGCGGGAGTGCAGAACGAAAGCACCGTTCCAAGAAAATGTCCAAAGTTTCTACTCTCTGGGGTTCGTGTTGATGAGCTAGAAAGGTTAGCCAAGGTGTCTAAGTTTTATGATCGTGAGGAGCTCCAGGTTTGAGCTCTTTCCAAACAATCACTGACTTTGTAACAGTATCATTAAGTCAAAACTGTTGATTGATGCACATGATTTGTATTGATTTGATTCAAATTTGATTTGATTACTCATTTACTCTAGGTTAGCCATAGATTTGGAGATATTTATATCCTAGGTGAAAGTTCAAATATGCTGAACTTTGGTAACCAGTGGTTTATAGATTTGAGAGAAGATTGGGGGATGGATGACAATACTTGTCAAAAAGGGGAAGAATCATGCTATAAAATTACAGTTCCATTTTCAGTGGGTAAGTTTAAAATTTAATGAGAGACTTCTCGTGGGATGGAAAAAATGGGAAAGGAGATGCACTTTGTCCGGTGGGAGAAGGTATCAAGCTAAATATTCAAGGACTAGTCATATTTTATAAGACATTTCCACAATAGAAATGGTTATCGAGATTCAGATACAAAGAAGAGATTTTATTGATGTAGGCGATTAGCACAAAGTTCAGATGCAGTCAATATGGCTGGTTTTCTAAAGATGTCAAATTACCATGTGGGACGGGTCTACAAAAAGGTAGTGTAAAAGAAAGAGTTAACTTCTCAAAGTTCATGAGGTCTTTGATTGAAACTAGTAATCGAATAAGATTTTGGCTAGATTTATGGTGTTAGGATACTACTTTAAAAGATAAATTTCCCTAAATGTATCTTTTGACAACTAGAAATGCAAACAGTAGCTCAGTAGAGAAACATAAGAAGTTGGTGCTACATGTCAAAAAACATGAAGGGGATACTAATCACCTTTTCATTTTAGCTTTTTATTGGAGTTAAAAGTCTGTAACATACACATTATTTAATAAGGCATTATTACTCATAGGAACAGTAGGGGAGGCATCTACTTGTTGGAGAACAATGATGATGGAGCAGGGGAAATTGTTTGCTGAAGACGGCTCCAATGTTCATTTTCTGGACAATTTGGAGAAAGAGGAATGGCATAATTTTTGGAAGGCATTTAACATTTTCTCGTTAACCTTAAGAGTTTTTATGTAATCTGTACATTTTGGGGTAATAAAAAGTAGAACACTACACTTTGCATAAATAATATTTTTCTGATGCTTAGTTACTAGTTGTCATACACTATGTTGCGCGGACTCTCCAAAATACCGCCGCACCTGTGTCGGATTCTCCAAAAATACATTGCTTTTGGAAAATCCGACACGCACCCGGCGATATTTTCGGAGAGTTCGAGCAACATAGGACTCAACATAGCAGAGAATGGAAGTTAGAAGAAGTTTAAAGAGAATTATGCGAAGATTCAAATTCTTTGGGAAGAAAGTCATATCTTCTGTCTTTTTCATGGTGTGGTGCTTAAGCATAGGCATAAGAATTTTTTCAATAATTTGTTCTAGAGTAAATCTAGAGAAGTGTGCCGATCATTTGTGGTTGTCTAGGTGAGTTCACGTAAACGACAGAAATTTTAAGGTTAATTACTTTACTCTTTCTTGATGGTTGAACAAGCTTTGTGTTGGTATAATAACGACATATCTGATCTCTATAGTATTATTTGTCAAGGCTTAGGGCTTTAATCATGACATCTCTATAATTCAATGTTGAGGTTGAGATGACTTGACTCTCAAAATGAGTGTCAGATTCATAATTTAATTTCTGAGATTGTTAATCAGTCCATAAGTGTTGCTCATATAATGTCAGATATTCCAAAATGCTCTACACCTGAAGATGCTACAACTTCTTCCTTGCCTATTCAGTCAAGTTATGAAGGTGTCCAAGCTTATGAGGTTTTCGACGTCTATAGTCAAGATGCAACAAGAATAAGATTTGTTGTACCTCGTGTTATTGTGAAAGGGGATCATCCTTTTAAAACGTCAATTACAGAAGAAATTCCTGTATCAATTATTGATGAGTTTAGTAAGTTTGTTCAAACAAAGTCAATTCGAACTCACAGGTAATTTTAGAGATTTCTTTATGTTTTGATTGTATTTTCTTTGTAATGATAGTTTGGACTATTATATTTATATATTTATTAAATCTTTTTAGAAAGAAGGTGTACGAAAAGTAGGATGATATACTGGAGGAACAATTTGATCTTTGAATTGCATCTATAGCTGAAACGACATGGTTTTTTGAACTTCACAGTGCTGGTATAGCTATCAATGACACGGTATGTAAACATACATCATATTTTTTGTTTTAGTATCGGTATTGTAAGCACGTGATTTTTGCCCTATGAAAGAATTACTCCAAAAAATTCAAAATAAAATGATTTTCCTTTGTGTGCAATTTTGAGAATTTTTGTGACATTTTGGATAATTATTTTGTGTTTGTCTGTGCATGTTTATTTGTTAAATTTTAATAAAAAAATACAAAAATATGTCGCATTTGCATTAGGATGTAATTCTACAATTAGGAATAATTAAGTTTGTTTTACAAAAATGAAAATTACAAAAAAACAGGCATCTTTTGCATTTTTAGCATTTAATGTCCAATTGTACAATTTTATGCTTAATTATTACTTAATTGTGTGTTAATTGTTATTGGGAGTTAATTTGCGCTTTTATAAATTAATTTAGTTCTATATAATAATTTAAGGATTTTTAGAATTTAGTTTTAGAAAAATAAAATAAAAAAAAGGAGAGCAAAAATATAAAGAAAATCGGAATTGAGCTCTTCTTCAAATTCAAGCCACAGGTCCAAAAATACCCAACCTTCCCCATGACCCGGTCCATCTCAACACGGGTCGACCCGGTCCGCCC